AAGTATTAAATGTAAAACAAATCTCTAAAACTGCAGGATGTAGAGCATCTTCATTGTTTTTCAGAGTTCCAATACATTTTATTTTGTAACAATTGTGCTGAGAATGCTGCTTCACATAAACACTTAGACAAAATGGCAGAAGTGTGTTTAGGGACATTTCTTAAATTGCTGAAAATTCTTAACTCAAATATTCAGTAACAATATAGTCTAAAGATAGCTACCTTTATACTTATTCACTGAAGAATGCTGGTAGTATAATATTAGAAGTCTTTGTTTTATGTGATTTTGATATTCCTAGAAGAACAGAAAAAATCCTTTGTACAATAAAAACCCTACAGATTATAACACCCTGATCTTCCATCTGAGCATGTTTGATTTCGAACTAACTATCCTTGGTCGTGCATTCAGAAACCTGTCTCTCTTATAAGGAATTTCACAATTCCCACATTCAGTCAGTAATCCCTGAATGAAGATTTGATCTATGGTCAAGAAACTGTTATCTAAACAACTGCCTTCCCCTTACTAGCGCTCATTGTATCTTTGGAAGTCTCTTGATCCTCTTCTCTGAAAAGGCCAGAAGCCATCTTCTTGTCATTGTATGAGAGAAAAAAAAACAATTTGTTAAAATTTCACGATTTAATTTACCTTCATCAAATGCAGTCACAAAGGATGTTTAGACTTGTTGAATGGTGCAAACATAAGTAAGGAATTAATATTCATAATTGTCTAACCCACAAATTGGCCAAGAACAAATAGGCCAGTGGCAAAGAAGAAAGCCTTGAGCATGTACTTTCATTTTTCTAGTAATATTTCTCATCAATTGCCTTTTCAAACACATCTAAACTCCCTTCCATTTACCCTGAAACAGCCAAATTCCTGTTATTACAGACTAAAGGCAACTTTTAAATAAAGAAATGCAAAAGAAAGTAGTCACAACATGACTATTCTTTCTTTTAAAGGTGTGAACAGCCTTTATTTTTTGCTCTTTTAAGTTATATGTCTAGTATTTCTTGCTTTTCTGTATGTTTTCTCATCATGTGCATGCCAGAACAGGATTCTCTAGCCTGGGTCAAAGGACAGTGATACGAATAGGTATTACGTTAATATTTCCTTCATGCCCATCATTAATTACTTATCATTCATATCTTAGCCATTCTAATCTCTGGTTTATCTACACAGGCTCTTGCTATTGTTTATAAATCAATACCAAATACACAGAGAAAGGGAATTTCAAAGCAAAAAGAAAAATATCTGAAAACTCACAAAGAAATACAATCAGGAGCTTTCCTTAACACTGGAAAAGCGTTTGAAAGAATGATTATAACTGATAGGAAAACTAGAATTGGTTATATTTAGGTACACAGGCATTAAATTCACTGCAAGTAAGGTATTTAGTGATCATGGTCGTTTGCCTTCCTGCCTGATCTTACATGTCCGCCTTCAGCTTTGAATCTGTACTGCATGTCATTAATTCATAAAACATCTGTTCAATGAAATACAGATAACATAAAATTAAGGGAAGAAAGGGAGGGATTCTTTCCTCATACCCTATAATGTAATGGCTATGTGCCCTGCTCTTCCAAATGCAATAGATTTAAATTAAATAGGAAGACTAATAGAGTAATATGATTTTGGTTTATAAAAAAGCACCCTTGTACAAATGGATTCTAATTTCTCCACTTCCTTTTATCCTTATCTTTTTGATAAAAGTCCTCTTAGCAGATGAGAGATGATATCTCTTCATGGTTTTTGGTTTGCATGTCCCTAACAGTGACAGTTAGCATTTTTTTTCTATACCCACTGGCCATTTGTGTATCTCCTTAAATAAATAAATAAATAAAATCAAACCATGTTCTTGTCTTTCTGACATTTTTGTGTAGAGGCAGGTCTCTGTTCCTCTCTCTTTCTCTCTTCTCTCTCTGTCTCTATCTCTGTCTCTCTCTCTCTTCTCTCTCCCCTCTCTCCCTTCCCTTCCCCAGCCCCTTCCACTAAACTTTCCATGTGAAATAAAAACAAAACAAACCAAAAAAAGCAACCTTGATGATTCACATACCTTAAGACAAATATAGAGAAATTAATAAGTTCAATCAAATTAATATTTTTCTCTCTTGGTATATCTATATCATCTATTATCTATCTACATCTTCTTAATGAGTTGGGTGTGTCAGTTTCAATGTAGAATTCATGGGAACCCTATATTTTGGAGGGGAAGGGGAAACCCAGGTTTTAGTTCTAGATATCTGAAATACAGGGCAAGTTGACTGAAGGTCTCTTAACTATTGTCAGGTGCTATTCCTAGTACTTTGCTCTTTCTTTTCCCAGTATTGTCCTCATTGGCATATTTATGACCCTTTGCACACATATCCACAATCAATATCATCTCTACTAAGGCTATCAATGTCCTTTCCCTGGTTGTGACTCAGTTGACACTGTGAATGTGGACAATATTAGGGGGTCTGCTGCTGCATAGGAGGCTCCATACGGCTGTAGATGCTAAGTAGGCTTGGATGCAGGAGTGTATAGACTCAGACACAGCAGCAGTGGCTCCCAGGGCTTCACAACACATGGAGAGATAAATGGTTCTGCTGAAATATGAAAGCCAGAAGAGGATTCTCTAGCCTGTGTCCAAGGGCAGTATTACAAATAATGGTGGATGAAAGAAACATTAATGTAATATCTATTTGTAACACTGCCTTTCTCATCTCTGGCTTAAAGCCAAAATGGTTACACTTGAATTTCTGCTTCAATATGTAATTCCTATAAAAATTTTAGAAAATTACTTTCTCTTTTTTTTTACTTCAGATTCCACCTAGAAGACATCAGCGATAATGAAATTGTGTAGAGCTTGTCTTAAGGATGATATGAGTTCACTGTTAGGAAATATATATTGAGTGGTACATGGTGATAAATATAGACATTTGTTTAGAAAATGCTTGGCAACTGAAAATGATTTTGCCTCATGATACTGTTGTCCAGGTGATACAAGAATATGACATGATTATGCAAGTAATTAACTTGCAGGAAGTATACAAAACTGTAACTAGAAGTACATTTTAAATCTAGAAAAATGTTATGCCTAAAATATACACTATAGGATTTAAACTCACATATGTTTTGCCTTTTTTACTTGTGTGTTAAATTTGCATTGAAACTTTATTTTAATAGTCAATGATACTTTAGTAAAGGGTCCTAAATATGCCAATGAGGACAATACTGGGAAAAGAAAGGGCAAAATACTAGGAATAGCATCCGGTAACTTGCCCTGTACTTCAGGTCTGTAGAACTCTAACCTGGATTGCCCCTTCCCCCCAAAATAACAGGGTTGATGTGATTGAAGTTATAGAACTTGAATCTTCCGGAAGGCCAGAAAGAATGTCGCTGAGCCTTGTCTCTACCACTACTTTATTTTTAAGCAGTCACCTGTGCATACCATGTCCATCATCTCAGTGTGAGCCTGTTCAGATCAAGGCAAAGGTGAAGTCTTAAAAAAAAAGTGTTCACTGGCCAGGCAGTGGCATACGCCTTTAATAACAGAACTCGGGAGGCAGAGGTAGGCTGATCTCTGTGAGTTTAGGCCCACATGGTCTACAGAACAAATCCCAGTGCAGTCAGAGCTCTACAAACAGAACCTGTCTCGAAAAACAAAACTGAACAAAATGAGTTCATATAGCCCATTAAGCAAAGTTGTCTCTTCTGAAACCAAGGTGTTCCCAGGTAAACAAATGCTCGCCATGCTGATGTCCTCTTGCAAAGTATAATTGGAAAATGGTACTTAAAAGTGGATATCATATATACATGAGATGTTCATATGCCCATGATAAGCCTCCTCTTCTAACAGTAAATTTAAATCCAAATGGGAACAAATCCATCTATTATCTTTGATGAGCTCTAATTCTGTTTAAAGTGTGTATAGCATGCTGAAATACAGACAAAGGTTGTGTTTCTTATATAGAAGCGTTAAGTGGAATCTCTCTTCAGTGCCTTGTGAAAAGTTCCTCTGGGAACTTTGTAAAGTATTGAAGGCATTACTGAGTTTACTCCTTTATCACTCAAGACTTAAACAATGCTGTGATTCCCTAAGACGCTGTAGTATTTATTCATAGTAATGAGGGGCTCAACCCTGAAAACTGAAGATAATCCTCTAAGCTTCCAGGGACTCCTTCCCTGTCCATAGCATCCATAGGCCACAATATTGGTTCTTTGTTCTCCACAATGAATTCAGGCCGTATATATTTTTTTCATTTTCATTACACGTGTGAATGCACCTGTGGGTGTGTATATGTGGACATGTGTCCCAGCACGTGTGTTGAGTTTTTTGTATTTTATGTGGACTTCTTTCTCTCCTTCCACCCTGGGGATAAAAATCAGGTCATCATGCTGAGCCACCTTACATGACTCTTATATCTTACATTACATATTTTATTCATTTTTTTGTTGCGTGAAAACTCTGTAGTCATAGGTTTATAAAAATATTAATAGGAATCTTCACACATTGTAATTCATATATTTTACAGTTAATTTTAGCATTGACTTCTTGTTTACTTAGTATGCATTTCTTCTAGGACTGTTTCAGTATTTCGGGAAGGACAGTGAGCAATGGATGGCATGGCCTGTCATTTTTCTGATTAATTTTGTGGCAGTGATAATAGCAAATCCAGGACTCACCCACACACAGTTAGCTGCTGTGGCTGCTATAGCCCATCAATACTGAGCTCAGGTTATTTTTCATCTTGACACAAAACAATGTCTCTTTGGCTGTCAATTGAAAATTCCTGAAGCAACACTTGGTAGAATGTTTTGAGAAAAATACCAATTACCTATAGGCTTTGAATCCAGATAATTGGAAAGAGTTGATTGTATCCCTCAACGACATAAATTTTGATAAAATATATTGAAACACAAGAGTAGTGAAACTGTCTGAAAATATTTAGCTTATAAAATGTACATCTTACAGCAGCAAACAGTATTTTCATTTACATTATTTGTTTTCTTTCCTTTAGCTATTGAGACCTGCAAACAGAAGAGTAATGGCTGCATCAACCTCTTCACAAATACGCAGTGATCTTACAGGTAAAATGCAGATGAAGATGATCTACTAGAGCACGAATATGAAAGCTCATAATCACACATCAGCAAGAGTGATACTAAGGAATATCAATGGAGAAAAATGGGAATGTTTATTTATCAAAAATCTGGAAACTATCAAAATCATAGACTATTTTGTTTCAACAATAATGAAGTGTGCATTTATGAGTGAGTCCCTAAACCTGGGTGAGTTTCTATTCATAGAAATTTAGTTCACTCAGCCTAGAGCTATTTCTTCATACATAAATAAGAACCTGACATTTATAATGCTTTAGAATTGATGAATTGTTGAATATTAATGGAATTATAAGATAGCAGACTAAACACACACACATGCATTTGCACACTCAATGCTTGTACGTGTGCATGCTGGCACACACACAGAGACACACACACACACACACACATACACACATACACACTGACACACACAGTAGCCAAAACTAACACTCCCCTTATCCACTGCTGTTGAGCTGTCATATGATGCATTTGCTGCTTGTTTCAGAAAGTATTTACCAGAGAAAGATTAAGACTAAACTCATAAATAACACCATTGTTTGCCTAAAAAAATCCCTTCATATCTATTTATCTCGGCAAACCAGTCACTTATTAAACAACTTTTCAAGGTCCATTTTAAAGAACTGAATTCTTGAATTAATCTATTAATCTGTGTCTAGAGAGAACAAAAGGATGAAATAGATCTACAGTGCTGTGGGTAGTGCTTGCTTTATTATTTTCTACATGATTGATGTATGTTACAATTGAAACTTTTAAAACAATCTAGTAAGACAAGAGGAATGAAAACTGTATAATGAAATTCTATTCTGGAGTCAGTGTTACTATTTGGTTTCAAAGCTGTCTGTCATCTGACTATGGAAAACAACTCAGACACACTGCAGAGTTCTTTGCTAAGGAATAGGCAAGCTGATTGCTAAAGAGAGGTGGTGTTAGTAACCATTAAGACACACTGGGTCAGGAAGATCATAGGTAGTGTTACATTTTAGGTATTTTCTGTTTTAAAATAAAATCACATTGCATATTGCATAAGCATAGAATGGACTTCAGGAAGCAGATAATCACTGAGAAATACCCCCAAAAGATGATTTTTGCCTAGGCATCTTGTTTTTGTGATCATCAAAGTTACTTACATTAGTTGAGCATAACACTTACCTTAAAAATAAAAACTGTTTTTTTCACTCTTGAGTAAACTATAGAAAAATTCTATATTTATTTTTCACAACGCTAGTGATCACAATGATATTGGAAATATTACCACATACAAAATAAAAATAAATTATGTAAATATATACTGTAAATGTATGTGCATAAAGTAAAATTAAAATATTTCCAAAGCTCTGAAATTTATTCAAAATATATTTATGTAAAATATATCGCAAATGTTTTTTTTTTGGTTTTGTTTTCTTTTTTTAATATTTTTTTTTATTTTCCATTTTAAATTTAGATAAGAAACAAGGTTGCTTCACAAGTCAGTACGAGGTCCCTCTAACTTTCCCTCCCCTCCTCCCATGCCCTCCCCCCCATCCCCCCCCGTTATCCCCTCATTCCCCCAGGGAGGGTGAGGCCCTCCATGGGGGTGTCCATAGTCTGTCATTTCATATAGGGCAGGGCCTAGACCCTTCCCCAAGAGTTCAGGGTGAGAGTGCACCTCACATTGTTCTATGGGAGTCCAGAGACCGTGTGTATACTTGGGATGGGTACTGATCTGCTGTCCAAGGCTCAATAGATTACCTAGGCCTCCTCACTGACACCCAGATTCAGGGGGTCTTGATCAGTCCCATGCTGGATTCCCAGGCTGATGCCTGGGATTCAAGAGTTAACCTTTGTCTGGTCAGCTGTTTCTGGGGGTTCAACCAGCCCAGTCTTAATCCCTTTGATCATCAGTCCTCCCTCTCTGATACTGGCTTTCTTGAGTTCAGCTCAGTACTTAACCAGCCAGTAAATGAAGCTTCTGTTTCCCAGACTCTCTGGCCATAGGATTGTAGGCTGGCACTCCCCAGATCTATGTCTAAAATCCATATATGAGAGAGTACATGCCATATTTCTCTTTTTGTGACTGGGTTACCTCACTCAGGATGGTTTCTTCTAGTGTCATCCATTTGCCTGCGAATCTCATGATTCCATTATTTTTTTCTGCTGAATAGTACTCCATTGTGTAGATGTACCACATTTTCTCTATCCACTCTTCAGGTGAGGGACATCTAGGTTGCTTCCACGTTCTGGCAATTACAAATAAAGCTGCTATGAACATAGTGGAACAGACCTCTTTGTTGTATGAATGGGCATCTTTTGGATATATGCCTAAGAGTGGAGTTGCTGGGTCTTGTGGTAGGTTTATTCCCATTTTTCTGAGGAATCTCCACACTGATTTCCAAAGTGGCTGAACCAGTTGGCACTCCCACCAGCAATGGAGGAGTGTCCCCCTTTCACCACATCCTCTCCAGCATAAATTGTCATTGGTGTTTTTGATTTTAGCCATTCTGACAGGGGTGAGATGGTATCTGAGAGTTGCTTTGATTTGCATTTCCCGGATGGCTAAGGATGTTGAGCACTTTCTCAAGTGCCTCTCAGCCATTTTAGACTCCTCTATTGAAAACTCTCTATTTAGTTCTGCAGCCCACTTTTTAATAGGGTCCTTTGGTGTTTTGGAGACTTGCTTCTTGAGTTCTTTGTAAATTTTGGAGATCAACCCTCTGTCAGATGTGGGATTAGTGAATATTTTTCCCATTCTGTGGGCTGCCTTTTTGTCTTGCTGACTGTGTCCTTTGCCTTACAGAAGCTTCTCAGTTTCAGTAGGTCCCATTTATTAATTGTTGATCTTACTGCCTGTGCTACTGGTGTTATATTCAGGAAGCTGTCTCCTGTACCAATTCGTTCAAGGGTACCGCCCACTTTCTCTTCTAAGAGGTTCAGTGTGGCTGGATTTATGTTGAGGTCTTTGATCCATTTGGACTTAAGTTTTGTGCATGGCGATAGACATGGATCGATCTGCATTCTTCTACATGCCAGTCTCCAATTATGCCAGCACCATTTGTTGAAGATGCTTTCTTTATTCCATTGTATATTTTTAGCTTCTTTGTCAAAGATCAGATGTTCGTACGTGTGTGGGTTAATACCCAGGTTTTCAATTCGATTCCATTGGTCTACCTGTCTATTTTTGTGCCAATACCAAGCTGTTTTCAGGACTATAGCTCTATAATAGAGCTTGAGGTCAGGGATGGTGATGCCTCCGGACGTTGCCTTGTTGAACAGGGTTGTTTTGGCTATCCTGGGCCTTTTGTTTTTCCATACAAAATTGATTATTGTTCTTTCAAGTTCTGTGAAGAACTGTGCTGGGATTTTAATGGGGATTGCATTGAATCTGTAGATTGCTTTTGGCAGAATTGCCATTTTTACTACATTGATCCTACCTATCCAAGAGCATGGGAGATCTTTCCATTTTCTGAGGGCTTCTTTAATTTCTTTCTTTAAAGATTCAAAGTTCTTGCGATACAGGTCTTTCACTTGTTTGGTTAGCGTTACCCCAAGGTATTTTATGTTGTTTGTGGCAATTGTAAAGGGTGATGTTTCTCTGATTTCTCTTTCAGCCCTTTTATCATCTGTATATAGTAGGGCTACTGATTTTCTTGAGTTGATCTTGTAGCCTGCCACTTTGCTGAAGGTGTTAATCAGCTGTAAGAGTTCCCTGGTAGAGTTCTTTGGGTCATTGATGTAAACTATCATATCGTCTGCAAACAGTGAAAGTTTGACCTCTTCCTTCCCAATTTGTATCCCCTTGATCCCCCTTTGTTGTCGTATGGCAATAGCTAGGACTTCAAGTACCATGTTGAAAAGGTATGGAGAGAGTGGACAGCCTTGTTTTGTTCCTGATTTTAGAGGAATTGCATTGAAAGCATTTTTAACCAATAATGTGGAGATAGCCAGATGACCCTGTAGAAAAATTAAACTTGATTCCTACTTAGTGTCTACAAGATATTTTCAAATATATGAAAAAAAGTCATGCAAAGGTAAAGATTTAGTACTTCCAGATAAAAATACAGTGGACTTGCTTTAGACTTTCCCTAGAAACTGATATACAAAAACAACCAGCAAGAGAAATTTAAAACTGAGATACAATGGTTACATTCTGTACATTTTAAACATTATTTGTCTTTAGGGTACATAAAGAAAATGTACAAGTCAATGAATCAAAAAAGGTAAACATATTCATCAAAAACTAAAGAGGATATAAGGCTTGCTCAAACATTGTTACAAAAGAATATATGAAAGTAAATAATTAGATTAGTAGATATTAAGAGAATTTAAATAAAAGTTATAATGTAAGGAACCCACAATTCTTAACCTTCTCAGAGTTATAGAGTAACTGGGATCCCAATGCAATGTCAGCTCAGAGTGTAAAGTGGAAACAGTGTTTAGAGTCATTGTGGCAGTTTTAAGTTAGTTTATGCTGACCATGTGGTACATACATTTTCTAATTTCAGGACTATATCAAAAAAGGATAATATTGAATTAAGTAATGTTCTGGAAAACATAAAGTGGGCATAGCATGTGCAGAGTGTGCTAGTTTTTGTTTATAGCCTGGTACCAGACCTAGGGATACTAAAGATTATAAGCAAATATGAGCTTTCTGATGCAGCTGTGGAATATGCAGCAGAGAAATGTGAGGAAACTATTGGAAATGATACAAGAGTTATAGATGTTTATTGGGACAGTGGTTCTTGCGCTATACAAATTTAAAACTCAATGAAAACATGAGCAAAATGTGTACATTTTATTAGATCTAAGTCACATGGACAGATGTAAGGCAGACGCTAATGAGAGTAGCCACCTAGTTTTCTTAAAGGTGTTACAACATTTTTGCCTACTATCTGAGTATACTTTCATATTCCCCACATTCATTGGATAACACTGGGCCCAGTAGGCAGAATAAAGAATAAGAAGGAAAGTTTTCTCCCCTAAATTATAAAAGGCACTAAGCCTCAATTTAGTGCGTTATAATGTAGCTTTCCTTACCTTAGGGTGGAGAGAGAGAGAGAGAGAGAGAGAGAGAGAGAGAGAGAGAAAGGGAGGGAGGGAGGGAGGGAGGGAGGAGGAGGAGGAGGAGGATGGCTGTAGAAGAAATATAATCCTACCTATTTAGACATGAGGTCTCACCATAAAAAAACAAAACAAAACCTCATTTATGCCTTGTGCAGTGTGGTGCATACATTCAATTCCAGTGCTCGGGAGGCAGAAGCAGGTGGGTCTCCATGAGCTCAATGCCAGTCTGATTTATGTAGAAAACTCTCTGAACAGCCAGGGCTGCACAGAAAGACATTATCTTTAAAAAGCCTTGCTCATCACTCTTTTCTCTCTGTAACTGGATTCCAAGGGTTCAGTTCAGTGTTTAGCTGTGGGTGTCTGCTTCTGCTTCCATCAGTTACTGGATAAAGGCTCTAGGATGGCATTTAAAGTAGTCATCAATCTCATAATCGGGGAAGGGTGTTTAAGGTAGCTAGCTACCTCTCCACCATTGCTTAGATTGTTAGTTGGGGGGGGGTCAAGACCAGGCTGGATAAACCCACAGAAACAGCTGACCTGAACAACTGGGAGTTCACGAACCTTGGACTCATAGATGGGAAACCAGCATAGGACCGATCCTGGAAGACCCCCTGGAAGTTGGTGTCAGTTAGGAAGCCTGAGCAATCTATGGGGCCTCTGGTAGTGGATCAGTATTTATCCTTAGTATACAAATGAACTTTGGGAGCCAATTCCATGTAGAGGGATACTCTCTTAGCCTAGACATAAGGGGTAGGGTATAGGCTCTGCTCCAAATGCTATGGCAGACTTTGAAGATCCCCCATGGAAGGCCTCATCCTCCCTGGGGAGCAGAAAGGGGATGGCATAGGGGATTGGTTGGGGGCAGGTGAGTGCAGGGGAGGAGGGGAAGAAGAGGGAACTCAGGTTGCCATGTAAAAGAAGCTTGTTTCTAATTTAAATAAAAAAGAAGACCCCCAAATGACCTTCATGCTGGCCATTTCCCTGTTCTTTCCAAATTCCTTCATAAAGTCCTTCGGACACTCCTCTCTCCCTGCCGTCATGCCTCCCCCCCCCCCCACATACACACACTCACACCTCCTCTACCCTCTCCCATCTTTGAATGCCTGATGATAACAGGGTAAAAAGACAGTCAACCTCATGCCTGATGAGCAGAACGGATTCCTAGGTTTTATTTTTGTTTTTAAAAAAATCTTCTTTGAAATGAGAGAAGAGCTTATTTGAGGACTTGAATTTAGGATAAGCTTCCAAATGATCCATGTTTATTTGCATCCAAGGGAAAACGAAGGTGGTTGGGGTTCAGGGCTAAACGATGCATTCAGAACATCCTGCCTGCATCCCATGGGAAAGCCCAAAGAAACAGATTGCCGGTGCAAACCTCAGTTGGTTGTTTTTTATAGTTCTTGGTGATTTCCTCTCTGGAAGTCACTTCATAATGTGAAAATAGGAACTACTTTTACCTCCTCACAAGGGCAAAGGTAGGTAGCATGCAACCCATGTGAGTACACAAATCAGTCTGCCTTCTCTCCCTTTTAAAACTAAAGAAAGAGACCTCGTGCCTATATATGGCTGAAACCTTACATCCAGAATATTGCCCAAGTGGAAATTCAGTAAGTAGTACCTGGATGAAATAAATTCATGAAAAATTTCCCTCAGATTTTCTAGAAGTGGCAGAAGTTGGTGCAGGAGAGTACCTAGTTCTGAATGTTCAGGTTGCATTTCAGGAAACATGGATGATGCTTAATTTGGAACTGGAGAGCCCAGCCTGAGTGTACTTTGCTGCCTTCCTGATGGCCTGTTTTTCCTTTGAAGATCTTTGGAAGCCTTTGAGATGGGACAACAGAAATATGTCAAAGGAAGCAAAATTTGCTCCTATGAAATGTGGTGTCTCATGACTTAATGCCTGAGGCTTTAGTTTTCTTGTTTTTAACAATTAAATCTCCTCTCTCGGTTCCTGTAACAGATCCCAGAAGGCGGATAACTAAGCCGCAATTAACTTTATGTGCATCCTACCAATATAGTACTGCATTCTTCGGGTGTTCGGTATTTGCATATAAGTCCTTGAGAAACAGATATCCAAAATGAGAGTGAAATCAAAGTTGTTGCTTCAAAAATATCCCAAACAAGATATTTATTCAAAACAGGGCTCCCTCTCTTTGGTCATGAGGGAAGGTTGATGTGTTCTTGGTTGGGGACCATTTATACGATTTGTTTTTCAACTGTGAGCTTTGACCCCAGCTTCTGTCTACTACCATAAAAAGGACCCCATGTCAGAGTAATGAGGGTGGTTGTGTGCACACACCTTCATGGGTGTGCATGCGTACCTACTGTACCTTCACAGAAGGAAAACAGTCTACTGAGGTCTAAGAGGGGTAGCCACCAGTGCCTAATTCTTTTGGGGGGTGGTGAATGCTTATAATGCCAATATATAAAATCCACACCACTGGGAGTTCGTTCCATGTACAGGGGAGGAGCAGTCTGTGGGGAAAGGGGACATTTTAATCCTAGCCCTTGGGACCAGACGCAGAAGAGTTTCTGTAAATCAGGTCCTGAAGATCTGGGGGCTCATTGGCTGGTTCTTTGGTTTTGCTTCCCAGCATGCATTTCTTAACCCAAGCTCAGACAGTTTGATTTCTTCCGTTTTCACTTCTGCTCCATTCCAGGGAGGAAAAAAAAATCCACCTGTTAGGGCCAAGATCTCCTTGCTAACACAGAGGCAAAAATAAATGTTAAATGTCTTTGGAGCCTCCCTTCCTCCCCTCCCACCACCTGGCACCCTCATACCTGCTCAGAATACATGGTTCCTCAGTCACCACGAATTTTCTTTCTACTCTCTATTACCCTCTTCACAGTTGCTTGAGAAATTTAAGTTTGCACTATATATTTTTGTTTTGCCGGACTTGTCTAACAATCGTGTTTGGAAAGACTTGCCCCCAGCCCCTTCCCTCCCCCCACCTCTCCGTCACATTCTCTTAGGCCTTCTCTGGTATTTATAATATATCACAGAAGTACCCAGTCTTATAGCCCTCGGTTATGCCTTTTTTTTTGACATTTTATTTTTTAAGCTATATATATATATTACTTTGTCAAGTTTTTTTGCTGTACAAAAACCTTAAGATTTAAAACTATTATTTGTATTATATGATGGTTGTATGTTAATGTTACAAAATTATTAATGAAGAAAAATTTATTTTTGTTACTGGTCTGTTTCATAATTCTTTTTTAAATTGGTATATTGTAAGATATCTATGCAAAAATGTTATGTGACACATTTTTATTTAAGAATGTAATATGTGTAATAAACAGTAGAATGTGTTGGTCTTGGAAAAAATAAAAAAGAAGAAAAGATAGCCTTTATTCATTAAAGTACTGCTTTATAAAATTTGAAGAAAAAAAAAGAAGAAATAAAGAATAGGCTTACAGTCAGTAAATAGCTAAAGAAAGCAAGTTGCACCATGCAATTAAAGAACAAAAATTAACACAAGGGTCTAGGAATTCAATCTGCTAAAGAGACTCTTCATGCACTGGGAACTGAACTAGCTTAACCTGGAAAGAGGCTCTAAGAGGCACTGGTTTAAACATGCTTTCCCGGGGTTCCTCACAATCCCGAGGACTCTGCAATGAAAGGACAGTTCTACCCCACACTGGCTCACACCAGGTGACCCTGGAATTATACTCAAGTTTATATTATAATGCAACAATGTCTCAAGATTTCTGTACAAAGCAATGGGAGGGGGAGGAACTCAGTGAATGAATTACAAGATATGAAGATCAGCCCGGTTTTCCATTAGCATCTCATCCACTAATGGTGTCTTGACCATTAGAAAAAAGGTTGCTGTCTGCAACATTTTCTTTGACTGTAGTAGACTTTGTGCCACAGCTTCCTGGTATCCTCACTGTTTCATGATTCTTTGTAGAGAGGTTGAGATTCCCAACTAAGAGGGATTAGACAGGAGGCTGTGCCCAATTTTTAGAATAAAAACATATGCAAGGACTATGGGATATACTTCCAGAAAATAGAAATAAAAGCCCCACTCTCACATGACATAAGGGGTTTTATCATTTATCTCGGTTGTTTTTAAGAAGACTTGTGGTCTATGCTGGTCAGCTTAAATGGTTTTCTCCAATAACAGTCTTCATCCTTCGCTTCCAGATCCACGTTGTTTGATGGTGAATGTCACTGATCGTCTGACAGTGTAAGGATGTTGTGAATTCTGTGACAGGGAAGTGCATGCTGACGCTCATCGACCAACCAGACAATTTCTGGGAGGACGTGCCCCCTGTGCAGTCTATGCATGGGAAATCTTCAGTACTCCGGGACTCTGCCTTTAGTAGTTGTGTACAGTGATTCCTAGTATAGCATTACTTGCATGTGTGCTTACTCAGTGCAGCAAAGCTACTTTGCTTTGAAAATGAAAATGAAGTCTATGCTTAATATCCTTTATGAAGTATAGCACTTACCTTCCTATGAGAAACTGAATCTTTAATATACAGGGTTAGTTAGATTACTTTTTATAGGCTGTTTGTAGCAACGTTTTCCTACAGGTTATATTATATATGCAGCAGTGCTGGCTTCTTGGTCTATCTGTGCAGGCCTTGTCTTCTGGACCTGGGATCTGAGGACCTGAAAGAATGGGGCTGATTCCAGTCTACTGCTATAGACAGTTTTGCTTTGGTTTCAGTACACTTTCACATGAAAATATAACAAAGCAATGATTCAAGGAAGGTTGCCTGAGTCCAGAAAAACATGTACATAAATGTCAGTAAGCCTATACTAAATATTAACAGAGCAGCCCTTTCCCAGAACTTTCTCAGGACAGATCAATTTAAATTGCCTGGCATGAACTATAGAGTACACCTTGGAAAACATGAAAGCAAAGCAGAAGGCCACATCCAGATTTAGGATGCACTGAGCAGATTTGGTTCTACAGCTATGTTCTGACATCCAATAAGAATAAACATGTCTTATCAATTGAATGTAAATGTTTAGCACACGGGGCACAAAATTACATCCAAAAATCAATCCGGTGAACAACATGTAGCTGAGGTAAAAGGCCCCCTGCCTTTTTTCCTGGAGCCTCTCTCACAGTTCCCCAAGGCATTATTCACCATGCATCATTATTTTTCTTTCATTTTTGCATAATTCTTTATTGATTCTTTGGAAATTTCACACAACGTAGCCCAGTCCTGCTTACCTCTTAGTCCTCCAAGTCTGCCTCATGCCCGTGCAACATGCCCCCCTCCAAAACTAGTTAGAAACAAAACAAACAACCAAAAATCTACCTCGCTCCTTCATCTTTCCAATACCTCTTCATTCATCCTATGGCATTGGGAGCTCGGTGTGTCACACAGTATAACCTTTTGTCCAATCAGCGCCCCACCCAAAAATCAATGTTCATTGCAATGAGTCATGTGTCTGGTTCAAGGACTCTGGAACACCATCATCACTGGACCCTCACTGAAACCCCTCTCAGATATCCTGCTGTTTCCTCGAGTCTGAGATGCCACAGCTATCATTTTGCAGGACGGGTCTCCTGCAAAACTCCAGCAGGCCACAGATGGAGCAGATATCAGTGTGAGCCCAAGGTATGGGTCTGGGTGGTAGCTGAGCCAGTTGGTGGGGGGCAATGGGTAGAAGAGAGGTGGTGCCATCTCTGCTGAATGTGGAGGTCAGCCCTCCCATTAGTAGGTGGGATCAGCTCTTCTACTGCAGTGTCCAGCAAGGGGCAGGGCCAGCTATCCCAGTGACACCTCAGATTTTAACCCACATGGGTCCTATCACCCCCTGTAGTAACACAAGTTGTGGACATCAGCTCAGACCCTGGCTGCTGTTGGGCCACAGATGCAGTATCACAGGACCAGATGACACAATCGCTCCATTTGGCAGCACAGGCCATCCAGATGATCATGGCTCTGGTGGCAACTGACCCTGGTACACCAACATGGGCTCAGGTATTAGGCCAGACCCGTGGTCATTGGCACAGCCATCAGTAGTTCAGAAGCCATGGATATCCATATAGAACCTGGTTGCTGCAAGGCCATGGATCTGGACATGGCTCTCAGCAGCAGGCCAGGACTGGAAATCATCATGTTCCCCAGTGGTAGAATAGGCGACTCAGATAAACATTGCTCCTATTACAGCACATCCCTTGAACACCAAAATGGCCACAGTTGGTGACCCATAGTACTTAAGAACATAATCTTAGTATCAAATGGCGAAACTATATACTTATTTAGCAAAATTTTAACAAAATGTATTTAGCAAATATGTTTTTATGTTAAGTGAAAGCACAGAATTGTAGCTAAATCTTTGGCACAATAAGTGTAATTAACATTTAGTAGGAATTATTATGAAAAGGAATTTGTTACATAAGTTTCATTTTGTCATGTTCATGTTTAATAAAGCAAACATTTAGATAATTATGGGAACTGAAAAATGAACATTTTCATCTGAAAAGTAGACTATTTTGTGGCTCTTTCATAGGACTTTAGCCTACTTCTGGCTAGCATGCCTTTTGAAAAGACCAAACATTTGGATTAAGAACTGGGAGAAATGATAATTCGATCACTCAGATTAATTAGAAGTTCATGTGAAGGAAGTGAAGAACTCATTTATTTTAGTTGTGGATTCAGTATGTCTATCAACCATATGCTGATGAACCAGCCTTCCCCCATCTTAGGCTTAAAAGTCATTTTAAAGACAAACTAGTCTCATTCTTGTTTATAATTAAACCTCTGTTTCTCAAGGATTGACCTGTGTCCCACCTATAACCCTAACTACAAATGGTTTTGTATTGCCTGTTCCAGGAAATAGCAATTATGTCTTTGTTTCAAAACTATATTGCAACCCTTCCTTTGTTTCAAAAGGTTTTCATGACTACCTATTGTTGTGACTACCTTGCTAAGACCACCTTAACATCATGTATTTGTTTCAGGAGGTTGTTAAGACTCACTTGTTATGCTTATGTTCTGATTTTGTAGCCCTGCCTGTTTTGCCTGCTAAACAAAGTTGGAACCTGCCAAACTACAAAAATCTTGTTTTCCTTATGTCTGGTGCTGACCTCTTGAATCTGGTTTTAGAGAGACAGCATTTGTATGCTATTTAAAAGCTTGCTTTAATTACTTTGGCCATGATGATTTGAGTTGGTGTCCTTTCCCCTTGAATCTTTGGTGATTAACACCTCTTGTTCATGTCATAAGAAGGTTGTGGTATTTTGTTTTATTTTTAATAAAAGTATATTTGAGAGAATGCTATGACTATGCCTTCCTGTAGATAACTAGGGTTTTGTTTGAATTATGTTTTATTGACTGTAAAATCTCTTTGTGAACTGCAGAAAAGACAGCTAGCAGCTAAAGCACCCAAACTAGCATCAAGGGGAAAAACTTATTTTTCATCCCACAGTGGTGGGCTGACTTGTTTCTATTTTTCAGAATGTCCGAGGAGTTGGAGGCTATCGATCTGGGCACTACAATAAAGTCAGGGCACTGCCAACCAGTCCAGGCCTATTTATCACAAGGAGGCTTAGATCAGTACAGATTTCTTCTGGTTCTCTAAATTATGTCTGGGATAGAACACTAGGAGAAGGAATTGTCCCGTGATTCTGCTTGTCATGAAAATACACATTTAATAGTTTTGATCCCACATACAAGGATAGCCTAGAAGACTAACACCTCTAATAACCTCCACACTGGCTAGAGAAAGTAAGTCTAGTTTCTCTTGACTTCTTATAGCAAAGTCACCGTGATCCCTATATTCAAACTTTCATAGTTCTGCTCACTGTTTTCAGATTTGAAATGTGGCCCACTCTGCATTTTTGTAAGTTCTGTTTGTTGTTTACATTATTAAATCCCATCTACTCTGCACAGTCTCTGGACGGCACAGTCTGATATAATCTCTCCCCTTTTTCCAGGCACTCACTCTCAGTGAAGATATTGTAAAGCATACAAGTCGCTGACTGTGAATTTGCACTTGGTCGTTCCATGTGTACAGGAAGGCTGAACTCTCCAATTGAGCTTGTCAACATCAATGAATAAAATCATGAGTTACATAGGACATTTCTCCTCCTTTCCTTAGTTCCCAAACCTCTTCCTTGCCTGGGCCCCTGCAGACTTCAAGCTCCACTCACAGACTGAAATAAAGGCTGGAAAACATGATCCATAGAATTGTATATCTGACAGAGACTTTTCTTGAGCATATGATGAAAGCATCATTTCAACCAGTGTGCATGGAGGAAAGACTTAATTATCTGCCTGTCCTTTGTTGTCTTAGGTGAGGCAGACTAACAGCTTACAACTAAAAATATGAGAAAACAGATTTATAGAGGTGATTCACATCCAATTAAATGCTCTAATTAAGTTACTTTGGGAGATTTTATAACAACTTGGCATATGCCAGATCTTTAAAAGTAATTTGTTAATTAATAATGACTGTTAATGATTCAAAATAACATTCATACTCTTTTTTTCCATTTTAAATTAGCATACAGAGTAATCTGATTCTTTATGACATTTCCATATATACGTAGTTCTGGATGCTTTTATCCCTCACAACTCCCCATCTTCTTGTGTGCTCACACCCACCTGTAACCTCCTGATCCCAGTATTTATATTTGCATTTTAATTTTACATATGTTCTATTTCATTGCCCATCCACTTTTCATATGGCCTCTTTACCCCTATCATGAACCCTTTTCTACTTTCTGTTAAATCAAAGTAAAGGCAGCACACCAACACACACACACACACACACACACACACAGAGTTCTAAGTGCAGTTATGTGTTTTCTTTATTCAAGAGAAATCCACAATATGTATCTTCACCAGAGTCAAAATGTCACATCTACTCACTGTTGGCCTCCAGCTGCACAGAATGAAATACAAGCTCCCTATTGACTGTAAATCCTAGGAAATAGAGACTTTACACTCTTCACTCCTTGTCAGGAATACCACTATCTATCCCTCCCCTTGTTGAGTCACTTGCTGTCTTATGAGTTCCTGAAATTGTTTGTACTTTCCTTCAACAGAGAACTCATTGACATGTTTCTGCTTTGCTTTTACCACTCTCCTTCTCATCAAATTTTCAAGTCCTCAAGGATAAAGATTAATAAGTCATGGTTGACTCATTTAGTATAATATTTGACTTACAATGATTATTATAAATAGTTCTTAATGCATCTGCAAAGACTTTTATGACACCTTCATAAAAGAGCAATCTATATAGATTTACTGATTCTGTTACTGTATATAGTTAAAGACCAGATAATATATTATTAGGTGACAACTGAGATGCAGGGCTTGCCTCAATTATAAGAAAAATAACTGTCTTCCACTTACTAAATCCAGTCAATAGAAGACTTTCAAGGTATGATATGAAAGTGTAACAAAGGGATTTAGCACAGATACATCTAGAATCAGCAGTCGTAGTCACTGGCACAAGGCAGACTGTAGACACTTCGAGAGTTGTGTTTCCTGCTGACAGTGGATTTGACTTCCCAATTTCTGACTGTAATTTGCTTCAAGCAGGTACTACCAATCACTTGAGATTGCTATGTGAACTGAAGCCCACTTCTCATCAATGAGAGATTCTTACTGCAGATGTTATAAGAAGAGAGGGGACAGTGAGGAAAAGACCTCTTGCCAGTATTATTGCCTAACCAGTTTCAGAGTAGTCATTGATATTTCTTCCCTTTTTCTATGGGTTACCAGTCAAGTTAAGAATAATGAAGAGCCCCACATATCCATGTGGGTACAATTTCAAACCCTTAGTAAATGAAACACATGAGTTTTTCCCCAATATATGTTTTTATTTAAATTAGAAACGTGAATGTTTCACATGTTAGTCCCAGCTCCCTCTCCCACCCCTCCTCCCTTGTTCCTCCACCAGCCTTCCAGCCCCCCACCCAATCCCCACATCGTTCCCCAGGGAGGGTGAGGCCCTCCTTGGGGGATCTCCAAAGTCTGTATTTCATCCTGGGCAGGACCTAGCCCCTTCCCCATGTGTCCAGGCTGAGAGAGCATCCCTCTATTTGGAATGGGCTCCCAAAGCTCATTCATAAACCATGGTAAACACTGATCTACTACCCAAAGCCCCAGTGATTTCTGTGGCCTCCTAACTGGCACTACATTCATGGGGCCTGGATCAGTCCCCTGTTGGCCTCTCAGCCATCAGTCTGAGATTCAAGAGCTGCCCTTTATCCGGTCAGCTGTTTTGGTGGGTTTCATCATCATGGTCTTGACCCCTTTGCTCATCACCCCTCCATCTCTGTCACTTGGTTCCAGGAGTTCAGTTCAGTGTTTAGCTGTGTGTATCTGTCTCTGCTTCCATCAGTCCCTGGATGAAGGTTCTAGGATGGCATATAGGATAGTCATCAAGCACATGAATTTTTAAGTAAAGGCTTTACAGCCAGTATATTAAAGCAAAGGCGACTGGCTGTGGGGAGGCATTCACCACCTCATAGAGAGGAATTGTATCATCCTGACACTCCTGTCCTCATTATGCGTTCCCTTTGCAAGCTGATGAAGTTTACACGTGCTAAGCACCTCTATGGGTTCAATACCATTTGATACCAAAATGAATGTATTTATATATATTACATGTAGATAACTGTCCTTACCACCAAGGATGTGGAAATAACTTGCAGATTTCAGGCAGTGAGGTGGATGCAGCCTGGGTCTAGGTAGAGAGCAGATGCTGCCTGTGGTGTACTATGCTATGCAGTGAATTTCAGACGTTGTGTACCACTCAGCAGTATGTCAGAGGCATAGACCTTGTGCTCACATTTCTTTCGTTCCCTTTTCCCCTACACCGTTGAAAACATAACTCATTTCAGTAAATCAGTCAGTGCAACAGAATATTTGGTAACTTTATTGTCAAGAAAAATATTCATGCTGGAGTTCTTTTTTTTTCTATAAGTGGGAAGCAGAATTTAAAGAGCTCTAGTATATTAAATAAGTTCAGGATAGTGCCTGACCACCACCAGTGCTCAAAGAACTTGAAGTGGAGAAATAAAGACTTAATTGCACACGGAAAGTTTAGAGATTAACGCGTGGTGCATCATCTCAAACATGTGGTTATTTCCATTTTAAAAATATTTATGATTGAGTGTAGTTTTCTTAGCCCCATTAACAAAGATATTTGTGCATCACAGATAAGGTTAAAAGAAACTAAGTACCTATAACATGCATATTTACTAACTTCACTTCAGGATGGGAATGGTTGTTGTAGACAATGTGGCTCTCAGCATTTTCACTGCATACACTCTTAATTTATCAGGAGGACCTTAACAGGATATACTCTTGCTGCTCCACTTCTTGTCCTATGCTGGGAAAAGAACACTTTTTAAAAGCTGAAATACATTTACGCATTTAAATTGTGATTTTCCAAAATGAAGATAGAGTAATTTTAGATGTTCACCTCCATGACATCAATATTTCAAAGTTCTTTTCTCCGTGAAATAATTCATTTCCATCCTCTGTTCACTCATAATTAGTTCCACTAATACTCAAAGCTTATTTGGTTCAGGGCAGAACATCCATTGCCTCCCTTACCGGCAAAGTGATTTATCCCTTTGAAATCCATAGAAGTAATTAGATGTCTACATTTTTTTCTACTATAAGACCTGTTGCCCCCTTGCTGCAAAGATGAGTAGATAACAGTATAAAACTTTATACTATTGAACCAGGTGGGTAGAGTATCTAAAGAAGAGAAAATGATCAGCTGAACGACATTTTGATATGTGAACTATATTATTTTATGGATGCATTTTGAAACTCATAATTGAGTTATTATATGTTGCTAGTGATATATTTATTACACACATCAATGGGATCCATGACTATGTTATTGTGAGATGATAAATAATGACAGCATGTATGTATTCCTTAATGAATCTGAAAATTTGTATCCTGGAAATTAACTATACTTATTTATTTTTAGACAGCATTTTAGGGTTAGTAATAGAAAAGCTGTGAAAAGATTAAAATATTAATATCACTAGCTATATGTGCCTTGTAATGGCACAGACAGTGTAGTGGGTTTGAATAAATTTTGCCTATATTGGATCATAGGGAGTAGCACTGTTTGAAGTTGTGGCCTTGTTGGAGGAAGTATGCCACTGTGGGTGGGCTTTGGGGTTTCAGATGCTCAAGCCAGGTCCAGTGTCACTCTCTATTCCTACTGTCTCCTGATCTAGATAGATATAGAACTCTAAACTACTTCTCAAGCACCATGTATGCCTATGTACTGCCATG